CTTTACTGTTAACATAAGTCAATGGAACCAAAATTTTTTTCTAAGTCATTTTGGGCCATTTCTGTTGGTCCATTCATCATGAAATCTAATGATATAGTTGTTTGACAGTTGATTTATCTGTGTCTGTAGTTGTTTTATCATGGAGCTCCACTTAATATAAATGTATTGTTAACTTTTTGTGTTATTGGCATGCAGAGAATTTTTAAATTTTATGCTTACTATGAAAAATCAATAAAAAGGTATTAACAAAAAATGTATGATTAATATTATTTCTTTGACTGACAGTATAAACAGTATCTTTCTGAGCAAGCTTTGGCTTTGGTATGAAATACGTTGTGAAATGATGACTCCTTTAATATGTTCTGAGAGAATAAATAAACACTAGATGACAGGTGTGAATCCTTAAATTAAACTCCCTTCAACAGTTTTCATTTTCTCCTTTCTTGTATTATCTCTGCCCACTTTGACATCATATGTGTTTGTACGGTTGCTGAGATAACACCACTTTTAATTGGACTCTGGATTAAATACCTCAGTAATTACCCATCGATAATGTTTTCTTTGTCTAGGCATGGGTTTGTTTTGGTATCAGTGCTGTGGAATTTCCCTTCGCGTGTTGCATACTTTCAATCGCTGCTCTCAAATGTTGTGAGAACGTATCTATGTAATTAATACTGACGTGCCTTGTATTTCACTGGCACTCCAATCAGCAGCTGTGCTCTGCAGATTCCGATTTTCATTTGTCTTAAAGGAAAATAAGGCTCTCACTGAATCGCTCATTCCAAAATAAACATGGCTTCATCTTATTTGGAGCAGCAGCACTTAAAACAAATTGGGGGTTCAAGAGTGGACATCCCAAATAAGGCAGAGGAGAGAAGGGGGGATGCTTTAGTTAGAATTTATATCTGTGATTAAATCATGAATAAATAAAAGTTAAAATAATAAATTCAGGAGTGGACCAACTGAATACCACAGTAAACAGAGAGGTGAGGGAGCCCTGTGCTCTTAAAAATAAAGGTGGCAAAAATGGTTCTTCGGAGATATAGAAGAGCCACTTTGGTTCACCAAAGAACACTTCAATTGACAGTTTGGCAAAAAAAAAAAGAAAAGGTTTTGCAAATGTGTGAATATGAAGAATCTTTTGAACCATAATGTAAAGTTTTTTTCCTAGGGCAATACATCCAAGCTAAGAACCATTTACGAACCTCAAAGCTGTTGTTTTGGGGTTGTTTTGAATAATGAATGTCAGAAGTGAACTTTTAAATGATAAAACATTTTTTTGGCCTTAGGTCTTGTCTTGATTTTCATTCTGGTGGCGGGTGTAGCATAGTCGGTAATACTACACTCAAAAAAACAGAACTGGCTCTTGTGCATGTAAGGTAAACAAATCACGTTGAAATAAATTAAATTGACTCATATTTAAAATGTCCCTATTGAATTAGTGTTGAAAGAACATAATTATCCCAAACGTTGAATCATCCAAAGTCAATCAAGTCAGACAAAGGGGATTAATTATGTTTTTCAGTCTCTTACAGATTTCTGCCTTGCATCAATGCAGACCTAAATAAATTAATTCTGTTGTATTTAAAATGAGAAATATCTCACATTACTCAACAGTTTTGGATTAGGGGATTTTTTTGACAATTTCTTGTATTATGTGATTTTATTGGCTCTTGGCTCCATTTATTTTTATATCAGGCATGTCTTTCCTCTTGTTTTACTCTTACATCTCTGTGCTGTCTTTCCTCTTTTGCTATCTTTCCTCAGGTGTTTGTTTTTATTCTATTTTTAAGTTAATTGTCAAGCTTTTTCTATTGTTGAGTGTGAGTCTAAACTCAATGACCGCTTTTAAACCAACTCTAGTGAAATTAGCAGGGCCAGCATAAGTTAAATCAATATCAGAAAATCAGCCTTTAATGAGTTGAATTAAAAATGTGAGGGCGAATTAAGTTTAGCCAATAAAAGTAAATAATGTTGGAGAAGCAAAAGTGCCTTATTTTGAAAGAGAGGCATTTAAATTGTGTGGTAATACTTTCTATAATCCAATTAAATTCAGTTCAATTAAGAGTCCTTGGGCAAGACTCCTAACACTACATTTGCCTATACTCTCTGAACAAAGGGTACCGTACAGGTACATTTTTGTTCAACAAAGTACAAACAGTGTAAAAAATACAATTGCAATGGTATATGGTACACTTATGTTCCCTAACTAAAAGTACTGAAGATGTGCCCCTTAGGGTTCTAAGCCTTTTCCACCTTAAGGCCCACTTATATAACTAGAAAGCATGAAGGTCCACAGGACAACAAAACTCAACTTTTCAACAAAGCAATGTTTGGGTGCTTACCATACAGTACATGACATGTGTCACTGAACTTCAAAGATCAACAGATGAGACCAACATAAACTTGTTTTATATCAGAAATCAGGTGCAATGATGGCAAATTAATTTGAGTGTTTCTGTAAATCATGTTTTTTGCTCTCTTGCAGAGGACAATTGGAGTGGACAATTGTATGTATGTTGATTCTAGAAGCAAGGAGCAAAAATAGTTGAAGCTGTGTTGTAGAGCTTGTATTAACATTGTTTACCATTTAAAAACATTTTAAATTTCATTCTTATTATTAAGTCAAAAATATTTTTAATAGACTTTGTTCACAAAGTGCCATTGACAACCCACCACAGACCGTTCGCTCCTCCTTTGTATTGGTCCAGGGACCACCACAGTGTGATAAACCTTGCTTTTGGGTACCACCACAGTGATCTGAGGGGTACCACACCAGCAACAGTTCAGTGCTTTTTTTCTGAGGCTGTAAATCTGTAACATGATTCAGTTGTAAGTCACTCTGGAAAAGTGTACATCTAAATAAATGTAAATCTTAAGTGAGCTGAGTGAAGTCTCTTCAGGGAAGTGTTTGAGTGGAAAGTGAAAAAAAAATCTATAATTGTAATTTAAGTTTTAGAGTCAATGTTTGAGGTTCAGCACTTCAGTGTTTTACAGTTGCAAAATTTAAATGTAAACTTACAGCTTTAAATTGATCCCTTAAGCATTTAACATAAAATAAATACTTAAGATGTTTTATGCAAGCAGCCATTGGAGTACAAATAGTCTCTTAAATGGCTTCCTTACAGTAACTCTTGTATTTCCATTTAGTGTTTGGACTTTCGTCTGCTGTTAGTTGTGCTTCAGTACCAATCCTAGCTCAAGCTGAGCTCCAACTTAACACGATGCACAGTCTCTTTGCCAGTTCACCTCTCAATTAAAGTTATTATGCTTGTCTCCTGTCCAAGTCCATCAAAGACTGAGCTGTAGTGCTGCAGTGCATAATCTTGCACACACACACACATACACACACACACACACCTGGGAAACAGTCCTCAAGGGAAGTCATCAATCAGCTTTATGGGACCGCTCTGGGAAAGTTGCTTTGTCTCTCCTTACCATTCACTTGTTCTTGTTTCCCTTTTCTCTCTCTCTCTCTCTCTCTGTCTCTCTCTCTCTCTCTCTCTCTCTCTCTCTCTGTCTCTCTCTCTCTCTCTCTCTCTCTCTCTCTCTCTCTCTCTCTCTCTCTCTCTCTTTCTCTGTCTCTCCCTCTCTCTGTAGTATTACCATCTGTACAAGCTTCACTTCATCTCCAGAACTCACTGTTTGGTCAAGTGTTCTTTCACTTGTGCGTTCGACTGACACTAAATTGATGACTGCAGGGCTACTGCTTTCCATTCTTGGCTTTGTGCCCTTAAACGACATACTTCAGTCTCTAAACCGCTTTGGCTAAAAAGCAAACACTCCTTCAACACTTCTCAGCAAACGAGAACATCAACATGATTGTTTATTGTGGTAAAAAGGAGAGATAAACCCAAACAAGCAAGAACCAAATCAGCATTTTTACACACAACACATTACTTGTTGTATGAACTTAATTTAATTATGCCACACACACTATTTCAATTCTGTTAAATAAGCTAAAGAGGTGCAAAGTGGAAGCAAAAAGGGTTCTTAATAGCAATGCTATAAAAGAACCACTTTGGGTTCCCTAAAAAACCATACAATTTGTAAAGTTCTATAAAGAACAATCCTTACTCTGAATGAGAATCTTTCTTTGCCAGGTACCCAATGTGTAAGGACTTTCTCTCAATCAACATAAATAAAACACAATAAAATAAAATATAGAGGGGACAAATCATACAGAAGAGCAAACAAAGATATAGATCAATAAATGTACAGCACACAAACAATCTATGAGTATTTTGAGGAAATGCAATGGGAGTTAAGTACAGATCAAATACTGAAGTACATTTGTACTCTCAGAAAAAAAGATGCTACTGTACAGGTCCACCATAGTACAAACTATGTAAATGCACCCTTAACGGTGTAACAATGGCCTTATCAACTGTGTACCTTAAATGAGTTTTAGAGGTGTACACTACATATACTTTCCCAGTGGAAAGGGAGCATATATGTATCCTTTCATAACCTAATGTTTACAACACAGAAATAAAATAAAAACGCCTGAGTCCATACGGGATGTGTGGTGTCAGTGCAACTTAAAAATATATCCCTGCAGCAGAATACGGTATTATTATGTTCCCTAACTAGAGGTACTGAAGACGTGTCCTTGAGGGTACCACCCCAGAGATCTGAGGGGTCACCCCAGAAAGAGTGTAGCGTGTACAGCTGAAGATGTTAATGTAAACGACGTTTACAAATTAACAGTTTCTCTAGCCAAGAACCAGAGAGGAGCCTTTAGCTTTAAGAGTGTACAGTGATCTCGCTATCTCAACATCAGACGCTTCTGCAATTAATGTCGAATTCTCCGTGTTGACGCCCCTTTTCTTTTCTTTTCTTTTCTTTTCTTTTCTTTTGTTTATGTCTTTTCTTTTCTTTTTGAGCGCATGCATTAACAGCATGGCTCAAGGCGCTCGTGACGGTGCTGTTCTCTTGCCTGCAGTCGGAGGCGCTGGGAGGTCCTCCACTCTCTGCTCTGGCCGTTACAGAGGGAGCGTGTGTGGGGGTGTGGGAGACTGAGTGACGTCATGCCGACCCGGAGCCCATGCTGTAGACCTCAGTGGCTTCTCCACAGAGCTGTGCCAGTCTGAGTGCCAGTGTCTGTGTGCCAGTGTCTGTGTGCCAGTCTCTGTTATTGATGAGGATCGTTTGATCGCAGGCGGAGCTGCGCGCGCACTGACCCGCACATGGTAGGAGCTCTGCGCGAGCTGTTTACCCGACTCTGTCCTTAGCGTGACGGCTCTTCAGTATGTGTGCTGTACTGTAGAGTTGTATTACATGTTATAGGCAGGTTTACTTTCGACAAACTTTGATAAACTGATCGGTGGTCGAGGTCGCTCTCAGTGTGTGCGCGCGCGTGTGTGTGTGTGTGCATGCTGGTGGTTTAAGAGCACTTCTATGAAAAGCTGTACTGGGGGGGTTAATAAGCGAGTGAAGTGGGCCTGCAGTAATTTAGTAATTTAGAATTCAGCTCTGCTTCTGTTTATTAAAAACATAAGTAGTATTTTAGAACTGAAATGACTAATAATGCAGCGTGGATTTACACCCATAAAGCTATTCATTCAAGAAACGACACAAGCATCAAAATACTGTTGTAATATGCATGTTTTGTATTTTTTTATAGGCCGTAAGATAAAAAGATAAATGTATGTGTATATATTTTATCTTATAGCCCATAAAAACTGAAATCCAGTGCTGTCCATTGTAGATTTGTAATCCTGCTGAACAGGTCTAAACAGGTGAACTGCTAAAGTCTTGTGAATTTGTCAAAATACATATTTCTCTCTCAGCAAAATTTTAGTTTAAAAGAAACATTATTATTATTATTTATTATTATTATTATTATAATAATAATAATAATAATAATAATAATAACAATAATAATAATAATATGCAGTTTGTCGTTTGGCCATAGACGTTTTCAGCCCTGAAAACTTAAAGAAACTAATCTTAAAAACATTACAAAAGTATTAATATTATAAAATCAAAAGTCCGAAAATTAAAAATAAAAAACTGTTTTACTGGATAAGAACATTTGATTTCTGTTATTAGTTCTTCTGATTGTTTTGTAAAGAGAACATTTCTGAGCGCGCAAACAGCAAATCAGGCCAAAGACTCGGGCCGTAATCAGTGTTAAATTGAGCGGAATACTGGCTGTATGTGCTCGACAGCGCGGTCATCTAAAGTCCGTTCGTCTGAGAGATCTTAGAAAAGCCATGCTTACCAAACATGATAGAAACACTCCATCTGAAAATCAGCGCGAGGCCTATTTAAACGACTTTCAGAAAGACATTCGCGCGCTCAGTTTAATTTAGTGGCCTCATTATGAAAGTCCGGCTGTTAAAAAACTCAAAGTGGGTTATTAATTTTGAATCCATTACAGTTATTAAATTCGGTTATTCACGTGTAAAAAAATATCAGCTATTTAAAATTAGTGTCTGTAAATAACTGACCTAATAATGATACCTAAAAAATAATAATGTTAAAATATAAAAGATAATAATTAATGTTGTCTGATTTAGACACGCGACGGAAACAGCTGTACAGAGGTGATTATTAAACACTTCTCTGTGGTGTTTAAAGTAAAAGCAGTATTATTTTGGGGGGCTCTGGCTGCAGGTTGGTGGGCCAGCTGCAGAGCCCTTATTCTCTTAGAAAACTGTAATTTCCGCTCTCCGTCCTCGGAGCGCTTTCTGTGGCCTCTAACACGGGGACACATGTCAGAGCAGCTGATAAATACGACTGGTTGTGATTATAGATCCATAAAACAGACTTTTTCATTAAATGATCATTAGAACGGTGCAGCAGGGCTCCGCTTAATTCACATCCCAGCTCTGTATCAACGAATAGAGACACATTCGAAATGAACGAGAGCGCCTGTGAGGCATTTTTCATGCTTTGGACAGAAGTTTTTGATTGTGTCGTTTTATTTGGAGAGTGCCAGTTGCGAGTTTAATGCATGCTTTAATGATGCCGTTTGAAAGATGAATCCACACATAACCGTGTGTTATTGAGGTTTTAGCTCGGAGCTAACACATGTTCCTCTGACTCCACTTTCTGACAGCTAAAGCTAATTTCTGAGGGGAATATTGTGCTTGGCATATCTGAAGGAGGCGAGTTCATGTGCATCTGTTTCTCAGCATTGACAATGAAGCGAAACCTCCCAGAGAAATTTCACTGCCAGGGCGAGGAAACTAGCGTGGGAGAGTGTCTCTCTCTCTCTCTCTCTCTCTCTCTCTCTCTCTCTCTCTCTCTTCTACATATGGTTTCTCCTTCGAACATGAATCCTCGATCAGGCCTCTGCTGTCCGCTGTGTTAAACTCATGAGCAGTGTGTGACTCTGAGGGCCTCTGTGTTACAGTTTGTCACTTGTAGCCATTAGTGCGTTTTAACTAGAGGCAGAGACTAACAACCTAAACACAAACCCAGGAAAAAGCACTGATACCTCAGTGAAATAAGGGCTTAAGACGTAGCCTGAAGGTACACCCTAAACAAACATGGGTCTACAAGAATAAAGTGAATGGTTCTATATGGAACCACGAACACTCAAAGAACCATTTGCATGCCTAAATGGTTCTTTGCGTGGTGAAATGGTTCTTTAGATTGATGGAGAACGTGTAATATATGTTTTTTTCTATTTTGATGATGTCAAGCTTATAACAACAGAAGAACTAATTTTGGTGCTAGAACCATATCTGAAGAACAATTTCACCTTGCAAAGAACCATTTTAGCATAAAATGGCTCCATGTAGAACTTATGTTTCTAAATAGAACCATTCAATTACTAAAGAACTCTTAAAGAACTATCCTTTTCAAGAGTGTGACTATCCAAAACCACCAGTGATCTGAGTTTTTATATGTAAAGTTGATCACAGTAAGTTTTCTCTGGGGTCTATTTTGCCTTACTCACTGCATGTAGGCCCACCCTTCCACAATAAATGGACTATAATATATTCTTTTTAGGCCAAAACATTTTTAAAGCAAAAATAAGTGCTTTTGTAACCATGTGATAATTCTCCCTGAGGGAGCTTTTAGAGGCATTAAACTCCCCAGACGTCTGGTTCCTATCACCACCACTGTGAACAATCCTGATTCATTAAGTTTCTCTAGAACAGAGCATTTCACACCAAATCACTCTGAATAACTGAGATTACATTTTAACCAGAGTTTTGCAGAAATTCAGAAAAATCGGTGGATTTCTCCTTTCAGTACGAGTAACTATAGACCTGCAGTGGAACCTTTTAGTACATTCAGCAACTATCAGCATAGAAATTGAAGTCTGTCCGAAGATTATCAGGGGTTGTTCTTACTTTTCTTATTATTTTAGTCTAAAAAGCTAAATCTTTAGAGTGAAACAGTTCAAGTGTTGAACTAACAGATCAGTTCAGAACAGAAAAACGAAACAATAGCTGGAATGTAATTGAACTAAAAGAAACAATTGATCACAAATAAACTAAAAAAAAAAATATATATATATATATATATATATATATATATATATATATATACATACATATATATATATATATATATGCTGTATATCGGAGCATATGGAGCTTAAGGCGCTGTCTCAATTAGGACGTTCAAAAATATAAGTGTCTATTTGCAGGTTGTAGATTTATGGGTCTCCTGTCTGGACAGCGCCTGTTAAAAACAGCACATCACTTCAGACCTGAATCCTTCACATGGGTTGACGCACATGGAGGTCTCTGAACGGTGGGCCTAATTACAATCGGCTCAGCATCGCTGTTTATAAGCTGTGATGCGTGCTGGGGGTCTGTGGCAGAGCAGGGCCAGTTCAGCAGAGGGGTCTGACTGTGACAGAGAGGAGACAAGCCTGAGGCGCTAACGTCACTGCTCCTCTAAAGTGAAATGAACTCACCTAACGCACCTTCTGCTTCCCGCTGTTTGGCGCTGCGCATGCGCTATTTCTATCACTGAGCTCCGGACCATTAAAGGACAATGAAATAAGGGCAATTAAAAACTGAAATGTGTCAACTGCTGGTGTGTGTGTCGCCAAGGCGTCTTTGTTGGTTTCAGAAACAGCGGGGACACTGGAGGTGGTCAGTGATCATTTTTATTAAAAGTCGCATGTCGTTGAAAACTGAGTTCATTTTTGTCATGTCACGAAAACCAACATGGTGTGTCTCAGCTCTGAGTGCGTTTTGAACGGACAGCCAATCAAAACAGAGGTCATTTACATATACAAGTCATAAAGTGAAGAGAGTTATAAAATAGCAATGTAAAAAAGAAGCAGAACTGTTTTTTGCACCTGAACCCACACAGACATCACTATTAATCTCAGAGTAAAAAACAAATTACAGAGCTATTTCGTTTTGTTTCCTAAGAGCAAGGTTCAAGTCAGGATTAGGCTCAGGGTTTAGGTGCAACCTTATGCTTCAGTAATACGGAGGCCAGAGCGCCTCGTGTGCGTGTGTGAGGATGATTTAGCTTAGCATTGAGGGAGATTTAAGCTTTCCGTCGCTATCTTGTTTTAATTTATCAGGAATATTTCCGATGTGTGTTTTGGCTGGCTTTCATGACTAATGTGAATCCAGATACTCCTGTAAACGGCCACGTGTTTTCATTTTGTAAAGTAAACATTAAACGTTGATTCATTACGAGCAGTGAGCAAAGGAAATTGTTTTCGCAGTTGGGTGTAATTACAATGAATTAGTGCAGTTTTGAGTAGCCAGATCTTTGTAGTCATTTTCCTCCAGCTCTCCTGCGCCTGCCTGAGCGTGAGAGAGAGAGAGAGAGAGAGAGAGAGAGAGAGAGAGAGAGAGAGAGAGAGAGAGAGAGAGAGATCCTGTTTAGAACCTGCAGTCCTGCGGAGGCTGACAGATATATCCACATCTCTCGAGGATAAGTCCACAATTTCAGCCAAACGTGTGCAAAATCCATTTGAGATAGATTAGACAGGAGAGACGACCTCAAATGAAGACATACGGCCTCTGTACGAATAAACGTGGCTGAGGGGCAGTTTGTTATGTATTTAAACTGTCAGGTTTGTAAGTTCCTGGTAAAGCATGCTGAATGTACCTGATCATTTATATTTTATGAATAAACACAAACTGAAAGAAGAGATAACATTTGGTGAACAAGTAGTTTGTAAAGTTTCATAGTTTGACTGAAGTTGGCTGGGGGGGTGGTGGCTATGGAAGCACCTGTAAGGCTGGAGAGGAGGAGT